GCTCCCTCCTCCCATGCAAGACTAGTGGCTGAATGTGTAAACTGACTGTATTGAAAAGTTTATTTCAGTGGAAAAGCTAGTAAGAATGCTAAAGTTTAACTTAACAGTGTTATATTTGCAATGGCTGTTCACATATTAAAGATTTATTTTCAATAAATAAATTTTCAAGACTGGCACATCATGCCATTTTTTAAAGCAAACCTCAGTCTTTTTAAGTATTTCCTGTTCTAGCATAGCAGGTTTGATGTAAGAAAAAAATGGTTAAAGTATTTCTTGAATAGAATTTTTAGGGTAAAACTATTAATTTCTGTATTTTTAACATGCAGAGCCAGGTTGTTACAGTCTGAAAAGCACTTCCGTAAATTATTCTTTAAAGATATAATTGTTACTAGTCTTTATAGACTCCCTCTATTTGCAGTTGGTTCTTACAGTGCTATGTGTAGGGAATGGTCAGTTTGGGTGAAGATGTTACAAAATACACAAGAAATTCTTTGATTTTAGTTCCTCTAGATTTATCTGTTAAAAACTGAATGAGTAACTGGCACTCTGTACTATAGAAACAATAGACAGGCAATGTTGTATCCAGTCTGTTTGCCCATAGAGCAGCAAGATGTTTCTTGTATTATACTTGGCTCTTCCAATAACAGGCCTTCTTCTCTCTCTCTAATGTTGTGAAATGACATCCTGGTTTAACCCTTCTGAAAGAAATAAAAATGTTGGTATGAAGTGTGTAGAAATGAAGAGACTCCCTAAGATCTTCATAGAATTTCCTGTGGCTCCCATGCTTGTTAGTTCAGCTTCTAATACAGTTATGGAGGAACAGGAAGTATAAAGAAAATATCTGCTTACAAGAAAGTGTTGTTTCCTTAATTTTTTTACATGAATGAAAATACATTAAATTCAGTAAGTGTGCATTCATAACGCAATTCATTAACTATTTATTATTCTAGTTATCACAAAGAAGCTTAATGTATAAGCAAATAAGTGTTTTGTAAGGATAGCCATGAGACTGTTATTTAAATAGCATAGTCTTATAATGACTTTTCTGCAAACAGCATGATGAAGCTAGTTAATAGAGTCTCTTGCTAATGTTTGGCAGGCTGCAGGGACTTTTCAGCTAGACTTCTGTCTTCATAATAGCACAGATATCAGAAAGGTTTGTTCTGAAAGACTGGTAATAAATCCTCATACTTTTGCTTTCTGTCTTCTGTGATGATTTATGGATCTGTATTATATTGTAATGTAAGTTTGTACATAATTGCAATCTGAACAATGACGCTGCATATTTCTTTAAACATAGCAAATTGTAATGTGGAGCACTTTTGCCATGGCATGTACAGCACCTGTGCTCTTGGATTTTATTTTTATTCTCTTTAAGTCCCATAACAGTTTAAGTTTGGGATACTAATCTAAATTGTGATCAAAAGCTAGCACTTTAAGTACTTGTAGTCACTTTTCTTCTTACTATATGGAGCACTGCACTTTTATAAATACTATTAGCACTGAGTTTTCAACATATTGTTCCCTGACCCCATTTTTGTGTAGTCCTTACAGGGTGTTTGTTTAAAATAAGTGGTGGCTGTATGAAGATACCTTTTCATGAATGTGGCCACTGCCTGGTGCCTAACTTGTATTTAGTTATATGCTGAAAAATTACATAAGTTAATGAAAAGATGTCAGGGTAGGGATAGATCTGAACCATTTTTTAAGTTTAAAAAATCCTAAATTGTTGACATCTAGACTGTTTTTTTTAAGACAAATATGTGCATATACAAACCCACATATCCACAGGCTTTGAAAAACACCAAAGACATTGGACATTTAAAATGGGCAAGAACAGCACAAGAGGTTATTTTTAGGTTTGTGTTACATTCACAGCAGAGGATGAAGTAATTAATGTGGTTTCAACTATAGAGTTATGTACATATCATGTGTTGATGAGAATGTTTACCATGATGGATAAAATTTATCAACATAGGTAGACAAGAAAGTAAAAATTATCATTCAGCTTACATACAGTTCACTGCAACACAGTTGCACCAGTGCAAACCTTGTTCCAGCCAGGGCAATATAATATAGTATTCATACATGTAAATTAGTTTAACTTATTGTAGTCTTAACTATATTAAAGTGGGAAAGAGCTGAAATGCTTTTAGAACAGGTGTAGCATTCACTACATGAATTCCTGCATTTGCAGAATGCTCTTATTTATGAAAAGTTCATGGGGCAGGGAGAAGATTTCTGCAAAATTTTCACATTAACTATTAGTTGGCTACAAAAAAATTGACTTGATAGATGTTTTATCTTATGTTGACTCTTGCCATCAGGCATCAATGTACTAGCTCTACCTTACTAGAAGATCTTAAATGTGGCATTCTAAGTTTACTTCATATTGCTAAATTCTGTTACAGAAATAAAATATCAAGGACAGGGCAATTTTCAAATAATAAAATAATTTATGGAGATACTTTTACTCTTAATACATATGCTATTTAGATGTCAGTCTGTAAATGCTAATGAGATTATTTGTAAAGAACCCAAAAATATTTTTAGTCTTTAACATACTCCTGAATCCTGATCCAGCTAGTTACCATGCATATACTGAAGCTGGCTTCTGTGTGTGCATCCTTTGTTGGATTAAGAAATGTACATATAAACAGCAGCATGGCAGCATCCAGCTTTTTAGACTGCCATATATAGTTCCCATCCCTGTATCAAGAAACATGAGTGCAGACCAAGTTAAATAGTTGTGTTCCTGCACTGATTGTTCAGGGATAAGGACATGTTCATTGGAGGCTTACTCTTATAATTTTTACTAGATCTTATGTTTTACATTCATCTGAACAAACCCATTTTCTTAACTGAAATAATCCTGGTTAAGCAAACTTTCAGAATCGAAATGTTTCTTTTAAATATAAATATACTTGCTATTCCAATTGCATTGAATTGCTGCAGCAGTGACATCTTTCTGAACAATCCTTAATTATGTATATTTTTTCCAAATTCTAAGCATTCTATTAATAAGAATATCAGTGTCTGTCAACATAGAATTAAGCTAAATATATTTAAGCATAATAGCATATTTAGACCCTTTGCTAATTGTGGTGACAAATGTATGCGTGTGGGTGTGGGTGTGGATGTATGCACATACATGAAGAGCTGCTTCTGGAGTGAAACAGCATAAATATAAAATCTATTAGAAAACTAGCAATTTCCCCTCACCTATAAATGTAAAATAAAATATGAAAGTATGTTTTACAAACATGGCACATTAAAGGTAAAGAGCAGGATTCAAAGGGCCAGTCATGGTACCTGTCGTCCCTGTAGTACCATCTTACTGCAGCTCCCTTAAAGAGCTGCTCCTGGGAGTGGAAGATTCCATAGTACTGCATCCAGAAAAATGCATATGTGGGCTTTTTGGATCCAATCAAAAACAACTTAATCCAGAAAAATTTGTCAACCTATTTTTTGTAATTTCTACAGTTAAGCTAAATTATCTGCAGATTGTATTTCACTTTAGAGTGTTAGTAGAAGATAAACTAAACGTTCTGCAAGTCTTATTCAACTATGTATTACATCCTTTTTTAAAAAAAAATACAAGTTAAAGTTTTCTTGTAAAAGTATTTCTAAAAACTACTGTGCTGCTTTTCCTTTATAAATTCAGAAAGAAATTGTAGTGGCACAACAGGCAGTGTTTAACAATAGTCAGTGGTGTGTTTTCAGGTTTTTTTTAACAGCATGTGGAGTCATTTTAATCATAATTTTAGTATTCTTCCATAGATGTGTAAAGGTATTTTCACAACTGCATCTATAATCAGAGTACAGCATTACAACCATCAAGTTAATCAAAATCACATGCATAACAGGTAGCAGTTTATCCTCTGTGTGTATTCTTCCCGAATGGTACTATTTTTCAGTAGATATTCTTAACCAAAAGGTGTGTTAAAGTCATGGCATGAAATCGTAAATGTAATTGAGTACATGTAATGCTAATTAAAGGAATTTTCTTAAACTTATATGATGCTTAATATTTTCCTTAGAAAGTTTTGTTTTAAAGGTAGATCAGTGTTCTGAAGAATGTTGGTCCTATGGAATAAAATAATGGAAATAAAATGCATGTGTTACAATTGTAGACATGGTAAAGAATTAAATGTGAACTTACTGTACAATACTGACTCTGTTTTCAAACAATCTGTTTTGCTGTTTTATTGTTAACATATATTGAAAAAGCAAATGTACTGTAATTTAGGACTTTTTTTTTCCTATGTACCCTGTTCTCTCAGTATACTAGAGATATGAAATGGCATAGGTGTGGAATATGTAATCATGCCTGCATGAATACTTTAGGATTTATGCTTTCCTTGATGTGCAAGATTTGTCTCTATAGACATCATTTTAAGTGGAAAGCCCTCTCTATCTATTGGCTTATATCATTTTCTTATAGAATACCAGAATTATTTTTGAATCAACTTAAAAATTCAGGGTCTCTTTACATGATTGCTTTACATGATTGCCGTTCAAAAATAGACACCACAAACAAAGTTCAACCTTAGGCATAGCTCCTTTGTGAGATCATATGTTTGAGCCATTGTATTCTTTACTCATGAGGGATTACTCATTATGCCTTTAACATGGTAACATAGGAATTCTATTTATGTGGTGTCTCTACACATGCCATCAAATTAGTGTATATTTGAAAGGCGTCTCTTACTATATAAAACAGATCATGTTAATAAGAAGTATCCTAATTGCATTATCAAGAACAACCACATTGCTAATTGGCCTATATTCAAGAGAAGGCATCTCAGTCTCAAAAAGTAGACGTAGTATTAAAGTATATGTGAATGTACCCAAAACAAATCTATATTGAAGGGACATAATAAATTATCCCAAGACTTACAGATAATAGATGAGGGTAACATAATGTAAAGAAACAATAGTAGCAACAACACTGAAGCCAGTCAGTAAATTCTACATTTTGCTATCTCTTTTTTCCCAAGAAAGAACTGGATTCAAGACATTTTCAGTTCTGGCAGTTACAAAAATGGAAGAGCAGGCACATGCAAATAAGTAAACATTCTGAAGATACTGCTGACTGGAAGAAGAATGTATTGCCCACAAAACAAGGTACAAGTGAATAAGATACAGAACAGATTCATATTCAGTGGTATCAGTTTGGGTTATATTACAATAAAAATAGTTTTAAGTATACTCATACATCCATGCATTTAGTATTATCTTAGAGAGTATATGTATTTGCAATTGCAAGCAGTTTTAATAAGTTTTTGTGTGAGGATTCTGCCTTCCTTGGTCCCAAAATAGCTATATTATGTATTTTCCCTGAATAAATGTATGAGATCCCAGTAAATCACTGCAATGATATACAGTGTGAATTGCTTCCACTGAAAATGGAAGTACCTTACTGATTTCCAGATATGCTGATTATCCCTTGAGTTGATACGTAAAACTCTGCCTTTTAAGTAGCCTAAAAAGTATTCTTAAGAAAACCAAATGGGATATAAGGCAGGAAATTATTATCTATCTTCAGAACAATAGTTGTGTGTTATAATGATAGGTTTGTGGTGAAAGATGAAACTTGAAGGCAAATTATTTTTTTATCTAGGAATCAGGAAAATGAAATACCAGTCAGAATATATGAGAACTATCTTCAGAAGAAGGTAGGGGCAAAACAATAGGAAGGTGGAATTCCTAAAATAAGCCAGTCTTGCTGCCGATCTTATGCAAAGCTATTGCTTGACAAGTATCATGTTAAAGGCAAAACAGACGAAGGATTGTAAGTAGTGGCAATGAGATATTTACATTGAATGAATACAATTAAACGTTGAAAAAAAAATCAAATGAAAAAGTACATATTGCCCTTTGACTTCCCTCTTCAGTTCAGTGACAAATACAAGATTAAAAGAAAAGTTGAACTAGTGAGCTTTCTAGGATGAAAAGGAATAGGAAGATTGAAAGCGGTTACATGGGGCTAATACGTGATAGAAGAAACCAGAAGATTAGAGCTATAATACCAGCAGTAGTCACTGAGGTAGAAAATATGGGTTGGAGGCAAGCCTCACCTTCAATAAATTTAAGTGTTCGTTCTTTGAAGATTTTGGTGATGAAAGGGGAAGGCCAATTACTGTGCTCCATTTTGTTCTGGAGAGTCCTGCAATTATCATCCAGAATATGAATTAAGAAGACACAAATGGTTATAGGAGAATTTGTGGCTCTCCTCTCCACCCCCTTTCAACAGTAGGATAGTTTTCTCTATGTAATTGTTTGGGGATGCTCCTGCCAATGAGAAGAAAGACGGGATCCAGAGTTGTGGCTTTTGTTTTTGCTTTTAAATCCTAAATGCATAGATTTTCATCCATTTGGTATAGCAGGAAAAATAGGGTAGATTTCTGTCTCCCTTTTGATAGTAATTAGTCTGGTATGCCAAAGCTATATTTAGTTCTGCAAAGGCTTCTACCACCTAAATATTAAACTATTCTGTTGACTGCTATAAGATTGATTACTGTTCAGGCATCTCTTAAATTCTTCTACAGCATTTCTTCAGTTTCATAAGGAAAAAGGAAACATTCAAGGAAAAAAAATTGAGCTTGGATAAAATTGCATATCTGAAATTCTATATTCCCTAGCCATTGCTTTCTTCTTTAAATATATCTTTTAAAACTGATTGACTATTTGGCATTGATTTCAACCAGCCATACAATGGTTGGAATGTTTCTGTCAAGGCCATGTAAATATCAGACCCTGAATTTCAAAGAGGGATGAAAGTCAGCCAGACAATGAAGTCCTTGTGGTACTCTCAAGATGCTTCTAACATCTACAGCATACTCTAGTATTAACAGGGTGTTCAGATGTGACTTGTACTGTATTCAAAGGTTCATTGATCAGTGACTGTATTGTACTGTATGAATAATCATAAATTGCCTTGTATTGTTTATAATGACTGTACCACACAGATTTCCATGTTCCAGTTTGTCAGCAATGCATATTGCCAGTTAGATCCTGAAACTATATGGTGCTAACTCTTCCATAGTTAATGGTGCTTTTGCAGATGCTAACTGCTGACATGCTGTGGGGGTGTGGGGAAGTTAAGAAGTGTTTCATCTCATAGAAGGAAAACAAACAAACTAGAATTGTTTTACAGTATCATCAATGATTCAGTGTTTTATGTGTGTACTTTTTATTGAAGTTTTCAGCTGATTTCTTCAAAAAGCAGCTCTCTTCTGCTATAATAATTTCTTCCTAAAATTTGTTTTTGAATGCTAGACTTGCTTATGTACTTCAGAAAAAATGTCTCATAACTTGTGTCTTTGATTCACATAATCATGATCTGGAAGAGACCTGAAGGCTATGAGAAAAATCTGATAATCTTTGTATAAATTAAGTGCATTCATAGGATACAGTCAGATGTAGCTTTACCACTGAACTACAACTGATCATAGCTTATTATATTTTAATCTTGTTGTATTCATGCTTAACAATAATTTAAAGTGCACATCTAAACGGTACTATGTAAAGAAGCTCACAGTGGAAAATGAAAAGCTGATCAAGATAAAATCACTGTTTCATGCAGCCAAAGGTGATATTTTCATGAATACAGAGCTACATGTCTGAGACAAAATAATGTTTAATTCATTTAAAATAAAACAGTACTTTAATGTTGCTTTGCTCTTCTTTTGTAAAATACTACACAGCTATAAATTGCTGTAGTCTTATGAAAAAAGGATGATTCTGTTTTTTTCATAATCTTATTTCAGCAAAGGATAGGAAAAAGAAACTTTTTTTTCTTTTGGTGAACAATAAAAGGAAGAGAATTGTTCACCAGCACTTGAAAGAAACTGGAATATTTCTTAGCTGTCAATTTATTTTTTAAAAAGCATATTTATACTTTATGCTTTTTATATTAATGTACAGTTGCTTCATATTATCCCAGTGGTTTAGGTAGATTGTAACATTTTGAAAGATAAACCCATAATTAGTAAAGCCCACATCTACTTTTAAGATATGAGTAATTATCTCAAGAGCTGAAATATTTATTTTATTTCTGAAAATTGAAGAAAATTTAGAACATTTAGAACATTTTTGCTAGTGAGTCAGGGAAGAGGCAGAGAAATGAATGGTCCATGTTCCAGGAAAGAGAAAAAGTAACACAGTCTCCATACAAGTTATAGGTATAGAAACCATTCTACATACAGTATACCTGAGGTTATTCACTATATCATTTTGGATGGCAGCTGGCATGAGTATTTTTGAATACTGCTTCACATCAAAAATGCCCTGAATATAATGATCAACATGGCAGGGAGGATACACTCTCTTCCTGGTGTGCTTAGTGAAAGTTTACTTTTTTTCTACTTTATGTGAAGCTATTTCAAAACTACATTTTCCCACTTGCAGATATTCTTTATTCTGTGAAAGAATGTATCTTCATAAACTCCAGAGTTAAAGAATAAAACACAGGAAAGAATGAATAAGTGTAATACAATCAAATGTATATGTGTAAATCTGAATAAATCTCTGCACTTTAAAAAATAGCATTTCATGTCTCTTCTGGCCCTGTTGGATTTTTTAAAATTCTTATTTATTTTGCTGTTTTTTTGAAAGCATGAGCTGCTTTTTGCAAAAATTAATATAATGCATATTTGTTATTTTGATAAGCTTATTTTCCCCATTATTGGCTGAATTTACTTACTGTTATTTGCCACTCTTTGTTCTGTCTTACAATAAATGGCTTACTTGTGTAGTCTTAAGCATTTATTTTAGCCTAAGTTTGAACAGAAAGATTTCACTTCTGATTGTAAAAGTGCATACTTACTTTCCCCAACTGCTACAATTTCAGTTTAACCTAGAGTCTTACCTAAGCATATATTTTTTTCTTCTGAAATCAGCATTTCACACTGGAATCACACAGTATTCTTCTTTGCCATCTTTCTTATTTCCAAGTGATCTCATTATCCTGTGAAGCTAATAGAAGAATTGTGTTGTCCTGATAATCAAAAAGCCGAACCTAAGATCAGGGATTTCTGGTATAAGCTCTTACTTATTGAGTGGAGAATCTCCAAGGGCACAATCTTAATCTTGGCAAATCTTTTAACCTTCACACATTATGCACCAGCAAATAGCCTCCAGATCAAAACTAGGCTTTATAATGCCTAGCTGGCTACCCAGCAATTAGGGTAGAAAAAAACATGATAATGGTCATCAATACCTGGAGCTTTTCATGTGACTTAGTCTTAGCCATACCGGTATATCTACATGTGCTAGAAAAGTTGGAAATTATTAAATTATTGTCTGTTTTTATGAGTTCTACAGAATTTTGTGATACCTGCACAGCCATATTCCTGTGGACAAAAACTATAAATGTCTTACCAAAACAGGAAGTGCCATTCTGTCTCTAAACTTGAAATGCAAAAGAATGATTGCCTCTTAATCCTTCACTAATGCTAATGTAACAAAACAAATGGGAAAAAAAAGATACTTCACCTCTGAATGTAATGTTATTATGCTACAATTGTAATAACCAGTGGTGACAAAGGGAAATGGAAAAATTGGCAGAAGGAAATCCTCAGGATATCCTGGCCATCAACACCACCACACATGGGCATTTGTAAGAAGGCAGAAACCTTACTAGAATTATTTGCACCAGAATTACAGTTGGAATGAATGCTCCCTATGGTATTCAGATAATTTATACCATTTTGTTCAGTCATTAAGTCGTGTCCAACTCTTCATGACCCCATGAGCCATATCGCGCCAGGCCTTCCTGTCCTTCACTGCCTCCCTG